AGTGTGATCCACTTGTTAGAACTGATGAACCATTGATACAACAGTGATTACATTAGGGTTACAACACCACATTGACACAATAGTGATTGCATTAGGGTTCACTCCTGTGTTGTACATTCTATGGGTTTTGACAAACATTTAATGACATGTATCCACTTTACAGCATCAAACAATAGCTTCACTGCTCTAAAAATGCCCTGTATTCCACCTATTCATCTCTCCATTCCCCTATCTTTGGCAACCGCTGTTTTTTTTTTTTAACCTCTTTTCCCACAATGTCTTTTCCAGACATAGTTTTGCCTTTTCCAGAATGTCATATAGTTGGAATCATACAGTATGTAGCCTTTTCAGATTGGTTTCTTTCACTTAGTAATGCCTTTTAGGTTCCCCCATGCTTTTATGTGGCTTGATAGCTCACTTCTTTTTAGTGCTGAATAATATTCCATTGAATGGACGTACCAGTTTCCATTCACTTATTGAAGGACATCTTGGATGCTTCTGAATTAAAATGCTCGCTTTAAGATTAAAAAAAGTCAACACAGCAGAATTTATTCTGGAAGTTGGAGTTTAAGAAAGAGACATTTGGGGATGAAAGGACCGGGGATGTAGATATCTTGAAATTAAGATACCTTAAGTGTTGAATGAAAAGGAGGGAGGCATTAAAGGGAGTGCCCCAGACATGTCCAACCTAGGCACTACGGCTTGGATGGCAGAGGGTGAATTTAGTTGTTTCTTCTGGGTTAGAGAGTTACTTGCCTGTTTGCTCTCTTTATATATATCCCTTGGATCGAGAAAATGAATTTTTGGTGACAAATAGTGCCTGACACCTCAATGTTATAAGGTTAAATTCTGGGTCTCCCAAATAAAATGTTAGAATCTAAAAATATATTTTCTTTGGACTCCTTCTTCTGAAGGTCTCTTTGTGATCAATGCCAGTCTTCTTTGTTTACCGTTTAGACAAAATACGGTTTGTGGATAATATTTAACTCTCCGTGATTATGCCCTTATTCTCCCCAGAAAACTACACCTTTCCTCCAAGTTAAACCTAAGTAATCTACCAACAGATGCGGAGGAAATGTTTATCTTGAAATGCAGCTTCCCCCAGGGTGGAACTGGCTGGCTCTCTGGACCCCTCAGTTACAGTGGCCCGCTGTTTATAACAGGGACTGCGGAAGAGTCTCAGTGAGACGGCGGCAGGCGAGGGTGGAGGGCTCTAACCATCAACCCTGGAGTTGGGCCAGGACATTGAAATTCAGTATCTCCTCCCCTCACTTCTTTCACAAAGCCCTGTGAGACTTCAATAACCACAGTGGTCAGAAGTCAGATGTTGGGTTTAGATCTCATCCAAAAGGCATCCTAGTGTCTGTGGACAGCATGCTGTGGCATCGGCTGGCAGAGAAGAGCGTCGCTCCACTGGATCTGATGTGGTTCAGTGGAGCAGGGTCTCCTTGAAATCCATCTGTAAGTGTGTTGCTAAACAGACCCACATCGACTTTGATTGAAAGAAAATTCACTGGAGTCTGTAGTTGAAATGAGACTCGTAATTGCTATCTACAATCAGTCATGTCCAAACAAAGGAAAAGGGTTTCTGATTTTGGGTCCTTTTTTTTTTTTGGAAAGCTGTTTCCCCTCTGCATGTGTTTGCATGCCTGATATGTGCCTCCTGTAATAAGCCCAAGAATCAGCCATTTCTCCATTCCAATACAGTGCAGGGGCTTTCAAAAGTTACCAGGGGTTACTTATTTGGCTTGAGGGAAAAGCCTGGAGAAGAAGCGATTCTGACTTACAACAAATTATAAAGCATAAACCCACTGTGGGTAATGCAAGGTGAGCACCAAGCGCCTGCAGAAAGAAGTACTACAATGGGAAGGGAGCAGCCAGCATGGCCCATGGCTCAACCTGTAGAAGTGCAATGAGAGATAGTGGAAGCTCATTATTGGCTGGCATTTGTACTACATACATTTGGAAGGCAGTTTCAAAGAAAATGCCTAGAAACAGGCTTCGGTCTGTTACCAGGCTTGATAAAACACCCTAGTTCTGCTTAAGGCATTTTAGGGGAAAATAATTTACTTGTTCTAAAACTTGAGTACTTCTGGTGAATTATGAAGGCTAGTTACCAGCCATATGTTCAAAGAACTTGAATTCTTTTTTTAAATTATAAAAATTATACATGCTTGATATGAAGAGGAAAAAATCAAACAGAAGAGAGTTGAATGAAGTCAAGTCAGTTTCCTGTTCCCTCCCCAGTCTTCATTCCACACCCAGTGGACTCATTGTAACCACTTTCCTGGTGGATATGTTTCTAGATATTTTCAAGCATATACAAATTTGTCTCCTTAAAAATACAATAGAATTATACTTTACATAATTGTTCTGTGACTGGCTTTTTAAACACTGAATCCTGGTTATCATTCTTTATCAATTCAGATTTACCACATTCTTTTTGAAAGCCATGAGGTATTCCACTGTCTGTTTGTCCCACAATTTATTTAAACATTCTTTGTTGATGGGTGTTTGAGTTTTTCCAGGTTTTCACAATTATAAATAATGTCGCAAGCCTTTTGTATATATTTTTGTAGACTTATGCAAGATTATTTGTAGAATGGTTTTCTAGAAGCAGAATTGCTGGGTCAAAGGGTATGGATATTTAAGGTTTTCATAGATAGTGCCAAACTGTGTTCTGAAAAGTGGAATGATTGCATTTTTACTACCAGTGCATGAGTGCCTGTTTTCCCACATCCTCAATATAAAGTAAAAATATATTATGTAAAAAAAATTTCCTAATTTGAGAGATGATTTTAATTTGCTTTTATTTCATTATGATTGTATCTTATGTTTATTGAAGACATTTTTATGTGAACTTTTCATTCATGGATTTTGTCCATTTTTCTATTGATTTTTTTTCTTAGAAATTTGTAAGAGCTATTGGTATTAAGGAAGTTTGTCTTTTATTAGAGATGTCAAACATATTTTCCCCATTTGCTTGTTTCCTGCCTTTCTATGGTGTTTTTTATACCTTACAGAGATGTAAAATATTTACACAGTAAAACATATTGGTGTTTTTCCTTCGTGGCTTCTGGGTTTCTTGTCATGCTTAGAGAGAACTTCCTGAATCCATGATTTGAAAAATTTGGAGTATTCCTTTAATACTTCTACGGTTTCATTTTTAAAGAATTATAAAATATCTGACATATACAAAAGAATGTACATAATCTATACGTAGGTTATAGAGGACAATAATAAAATAAATACCACTAACTTAACCTAAGAAATGGTGGTTTAGTGGTTTCATTTTTTTACGTTTAAAAAATAGCCATTTGTAAATTTGGGAGTAATACGAATCTAGTTTTTAAATTTTGTTTTTCTGTTTTCCTACATAGCTATCTAGTTGGCAGAATATCATTTATTAAATAAACCCTCTCTTTTCCTGGCTTCTTTTAAATAATGCTATTACAGCTCTGATGTGACCTCTGTTGACAAAATAAAATCATTTCTACCAGTAGTAAGATGCATAAAATAACTAACAAAAGTCCTTTTGATGTTTTCAGATTCAATAACCGAACTAATCCTCATTTTCTAAAGCCTGCTGAAAAGAGAATAAGGAAACTTTTTCTAACTTCTTGTGGGAAAAAAACCCACTAGATATGTTTAACCTCTTTCACCCTGAGCAAGTTATTTAACTTCTCTAACCCGCGGTTTCTTGATCTTTAAAATTAAGAAAATAATAATACACTTCATGTGCTGTTGTCAGGACTAAGTGCGCTAAGGAATGCAACATGCTTTGCATGGCGCTTGGGATGTAATAAGCTTTCAATCAATGGTTTAATAGTTTTTATTACGACACATTGTTATTACATTATCAGCCTCTCAGATCCTTGGAAGGAAGGCCAAACTCTCCAGCTTTATGGCTGGACCACAGTTCTTGTATGGGATTGTTATAGTTAAACAGGTCTAGTTTGCTAATGCTATGGCTTAATACCATAATTCTATGCTTTATAACTACGTGGAATTTCAAGACCTCCAAATCTACATTTTTATAAATAAATGAAAATGATGCTGATCCCTAATATGACAGTAAATGTTTCCTGATCTTGAGAGCCTCTCTCCTTCCTGCTGAATGGCAGTGCAGGATCCATACTGTGGGTCCACAGAGCTGAACCTTTATTAGAAATAGTGCTCCTGTAAATGTAGGTTTTGATGGAAACTGAAGCCATCTAACTAACACACTTTACCCCTCATTATTTCCAAACTGATGTCAAATAGTTCCATCCATATCTAGGATGTTGAAAGCAGTTTATTGAATTTATTATGTTGTAAAATTCAGTTCTCATATTACTAGACATATAAGGAAGTATTAACCAGTTTCCCTACGTCATAGCTGAAGGAATTGCAGCAGAGAGCATTTTTCTTGCTCAGGGTTACTCAGAAAGGTAATCACAAAGACCAATTTGGTTTTAGATCTCTTGAGTTACAGTCCAATAATATCTGGTAGTCAAATTACTCTTAAAAGAAATTATTGGATGTGGAAATTATAATCTGAGTAGATATTCCAAAGAGAAAAATTATCACCTTATTTGAAATAGATGAGTGAATTATTTTGCACTATCTTCTATCCCTTAATTATTCTATTATATACAGATCTGAACTCCTTCAGGAAGGGTGCATGGGATAAGGACACCAATAAGCAGTTACAGTATATTAACAAACCAACAATAGGTTGATGATTCACCCTGGATTCATGCCAGCCTCTATGAAAGAACTCAATAAACATGATATGCATTTCAAAAACTGCTAATCATAATTAAAATTTCCAAACCCCTCAATCCTATAAATTATATTTAATAGAATTTGAGCATTTGCCCTGCCCCTCACTCTCCTTACAGCCTCATAGACCCTGTGATTTATCAGCCTTTTGGGAAGTGGGACAGAACACCATGTTTATCAAAGAAAAAAGGTGATATTTGGATTTTTTCTATTTTTTAGATTTTTTTTTAACTTACGGCATAGAGTTGTGTACGCTGCTCTCTCTTTCTAAAATCTCCTCTGTGTCTGTGGTTCTAGTCCTTTATTCTTTGATGAGACTTTTCATTTTTATTAATCTTTTCAAATAACCAGCGCGATCTGCCAATTTCTTTTTTCTGTCTTAATCTCCTCGCCATAGCCTTGTTTTGGAAACGTTAATGCTCATCAGAATTTCGAGAGTCCTTAAGCGAATCGTTCGAACCCACTCTGTGTCCCCCCCCCCCCCCCCCCCAAGGATGTGAACCCGCGTCTTAAGCGGCAGAAGAGGCAAACTGTGGCCCTGGTAATAACGGAGCAACTGGCCTCGGGCCAATCCCGCCCCCGGGCCATGCCCGCCCCGCGCGGGGGCCCCGGCCGCACAAAGACGCGCCCCGGCGGGGGCCCAGCCCACCGCCCGGCCGCCGCCTGGAGCGCGCGCCCGAGCCCGGGACGCGGCGCCGGCACAGCTCCGCCGCTCCCCTCTTGCTCGTCTGCTCATTTTATTAGAAAGACGGGGGGCGGAAAAAAAAAAAAGAAAAAGACAAGGACCAGAAATCCCGCCCCTCCGCCCGCCTTCCGCCTCCCATTGGCCCGACCTCCGAGCGCGTCACTCCGGGCTGCACCAATGGCGAGGCGCGATACTGCGAGGTGGGCCGGGCCCGAGCGCGGAGTGGGCGGCGGGTCGGTGCAGCAGCCCCGCCGCGGCTCGGCCACCATCGCCGAGGCGCCGCTGCTCCCGCAGACGCTCGCGAGCCGCCCCCCGCGCTCTCAGCCGCCTTTCCTCCCGCACGCCCGAGACGTCCGCCCGCCTCGGGTCTCGCCCCCGCCTCCGCCTCCGCCTCCGCCTCCCGCGTCCTCGCCCCTCGCTCACCTCCCACACCGTCTCTGCCTCGTTTTCTCTCCTAGTTGAGGAAAAACAAAAAAATCACCGTCCTCCTCAGGGAGCCCCCCTCGCCCTCGGGAAAACAAAACCAGACATGAGCCTGGGCTCCCGCCCCTGAGGGGTCGGCCGAGCTAGGAGCAGGGAGCCGAGCGCAGGCCGCGCGGAAGGTCACGGGGAGAAGCCCCTCAGCCCCCAGCTCTGCCCGCGGCCGGCCCCGTCGGCCCGCGCCCCGCGGCCCCCGCCCCGCGGGCCTCCCGCCCGTCCCCGCCGTCCCGGGAGCCGCCGAGCACACCTCCATTGATGGTGTAGCGCATCCGGGAAGGTAAGTCTCCAAGTTGCCCGCGCGTGGCGCCCTCTTCTTTCCCGGCCCCGGTCCTGGGCTCGGGCGCGGGGCGGGCAGGGGGGTCGCCGCGGAGTCCCTGCTCCGGGGCGGCAGGGCACAAGGGCCGGGGACTTCTTCGGCCCTGTCCGGGCCAGGTCACTGTCTTCGCCTGCTGACCCCTGGTCTTTCTCTGCTGCTTGTTCATGCTCTTGGTTGACTTGTCTTGAGGTTAAACTGTTTCGTGTGACTAAATTATTGGTTGAACTGGGGGCAGGAAAGGAAGTCGAGCAGTGAGACTGTACATTTCTTGAATGTTTGTGGATTTGGGGGTCTTGGGGAAGGAGTTTCCTCAAAGTATCATTTTCATATTAGAAGAGTCCTTCTTTGTGTTCGGAATCTCTAGTTCTCTGCTCTGTGTGATTACTAAATTATGAAACAGAAAATCACTTGCAGCAGAATAGGGTTCTTAGTATCATGTTTTAGTTCTGCTCTGTGAAGGAGAGTGGCTTCTATTTCTCTATTTTTTTAAGGTTTTGGAAAGAAGAGTAGTAGTTTTACGTAGCGCGTGTGTGTGTGTGTATGTGTGTGTTTGGAGGGGGAAAGGGTATTGCAGGTTTCCTTTGAAAGTGCTTGCATGAGAAGTTGTTGAAAGGAAAACAAAATGATTCATTGTTGAATTGTCATTTTCCTCTGCCTCTTTTCCAAGGTTTGCTTACAATTTTTCTGGATTACAGACTTCAAACGTTGATTTAAGCAAAATGTGTCCTTGAGAAACTGGGTGCTTTAAATGTTTCAGTATGTGTTGCTATTTTAAGGTACGTTTAGAAAGTAGTTTTGTGTGAATCCTGAAAGAGCTTTCTCCAAAGCAATTTTTTAAACACAAAAGAGATAACTACGTAAAAGGGAAACTTGGTGTAACAAACATTTTGGTGTAACATAAATTAACGCATCCTGTGTTTAGATTTGAAACAGTTTTGATAATTGCTTTCTATTTAGAGAGAGTCCTTTTTGTCTGGTGTACACTGGTTTCTTTAGTCTCAGTCTGTTGGGGGAGGGGAGAGAGGCTGGATCTATACAATAATAAAATCATCTTTGGGTAGCTATTTCCTTCCATGGATTTGCTTCCTGAGTTAATTCCCCCGTAAATTATAAACCAGTTTTGCTTTTGATGGCCCAGGCTGGATGGAAAGCTGCCTTTGAGCTCTCCCTGTTGTTGAGGTCGAAGGGAGAAGGGGCAGAGTCAGACACACAGACAACACACACACACACACAATACCAGGCTGAGAGCTCATTGTTCTTCCATACACACATTCATTCTCTCTCTCCCATATTTGGGACTAGGTTAGCACAAACAGCTCTTTTTGGGAGAGAGGAGAGAAGATGGGGGAAGGGTGGTTGCTTTTCTTTTTCAGCTTGCTTTCACCCATCTCATGTCTGGCCTTTCCTGCAACCTTCTAAGAGGCAGAAGAGTACATTGGAAACTAAAGGACACTCAAAAGCATGTTCAGAGACTACTCTTCACCACTTCCCTTTCTTCCCTTTGCAGCCCTGGTTTCTGCTGCTGTCTTTTTTGTGTATGTAAAGATAAAAATCCGTCTGTATGTGTCGTGGCCTTACAGTCAGCTTTCGTATTCCTCATTGCCCCTGACTTTGTTGGGGACTGATTTGTTCGATTGACTCTTACTGTAGTGAATGTGATCAAGGCTGTCTTTTCCAGGCAGAAGTAGGTCGTCTCAGTTAAGATTCTAAAGATCATATTTGAGGTTAATGTTTAGCAAAGTGTGCGTGTGTGTCTTGAGATATTAGTGGTCTGATGGTTTGATAGTCAGGTATGCTGGCTACTGAGCTGTCAGTGTTTTTTGTTTTGTTTTGTTTTGTTTTGGAATTACAGGTTATAAGAAAAGATCTGGTTTTCTGCTTTGGGGGCTGGTGTAGAGGCTTCCTTGAACACTGGACAGGGAATAGGCTGAGAGAGTCCACCTGGGTTGAACCCAGCTCTGAGCCACCTATGGAGGTTGGTGTAAATATGTGTAGGTTGCAGAATAGCACCTTCTACTGGTTAATTGCTTTGAAGGATCCAGATGGAGAGGATGGGGGAGGGGATTAACGGCTGGGGCCTAATGATTTTCTTTTGAAGGCACTTGTAGTGCTTTCCTGCAAATGCTGCTTCCCTGAGCTGCTAATACAGAAGCCCTTTGACAGGCAGTTACATTGAGCCTTTTTCCGTTATTGGCTGTGTCTTGACGTTAATTTGTTCTGTTATAACAAGTATTTATACATTGTGACTTCCAAGGACTGTTTTAAATTGATTCTCTTCTGAGAAATATAGTTTGTCTTGAAATATTAAACAAAATAAGGGGGCTTATTTGTATTCTTGGTGTTGGAAACTGTACATACATTATCAGTCTTTAAAAAGTTTTCAGTATCATTAGTAAAAAGCCAAATAGACCTACGCTATAGAAAAGAAAAATTTTAGCACTGGACCCAGAGGTTTTCCTCCAGGATTTAATGGGAGTGGAGGGTGAGGTGGGGGAGAGGGATGGTGGAGCGTAGGAGAGAAGCTCACTAAAATCAGAGATTTTGATATGTAATAGTGTTGCATTGCAATAGTGTTGTTTTCAACAGTCGTATAAACGTAAATAAAATTAAGTCTGATAGGTTGACTTATTCTATAGATGAGATTAAAAAAAGTAGAAGTGAGAGAAAATGTGAAATGAGTGTGTACACAGATTAACACAGAAGGCTGAATTCCTGTTCAAAGCCTTCTAAATCAAGCTGTAGTTTCAGAGAGAATCTACTTGATAAATGCCTGAAAGGATTTTTATTATCACACAGCCTACCCCATCTCATTTGTTTTGTTGTAATGAACTATCAGAGAGGTTTGTAGTAGCAAGGGGGATTCAGTATAGAGTAAACATCTTCTGTTCCAGACTAGCTTCTCTTAGGAATGTGATTTCTGATTCACTTTGCTTTCAAAATTTAGAGTGTATCTCTAGAATTGTGTATCTTTTGCAATGAAATGTGAGCAATTCAAATGTATTATTTATTCAATAGGAATATAGTCAGGTAATTTCAATCCAATATATTCTCTGTCGGTGTCTGTTTGTTGCAAGGTAACTAGAGTAACTGAGAACCAATTCACAGCAAAAAGGTAATCCAAATCAAGAAATAAATGCACCAGTTACTTTTCCAACTTTGACTTATCAGTCAGTCAAAAAGTTCTTAAAAAGTAGGATAGTAATCACTGTCAGGTCGTGCAATAATTATATGTAGTATTGAACAGAAATATGCCAGGTGCTATAAAAACACACAAGAATATGACCTGTGCCTTTCTAAAAACCAGTGTACATTGAATATTAGTATGGATTTAGTAGGTACCCATTATTTTTAAAATTAGTTTTGAATCTTTAACATCTTGTTCAAATCTCAGTAATCAAAAAAACATTTAAGTAGTAAAATAAGTTGTATATACCAAGTTCTTTTGGGAATTGTGTGGTTTCCTACTAACTGCTTTTGGCAGCTGCTTTTGCAGTTGATTTAAAGGTTAAGATAGCAGAAAATTTAGATGTTTAAGTGAGTCATTAGTGTAACATAGCTGTGAATTTCATTATACGTACACACATCCTAAACAATACACTGTTGTCTTACATAATCAGTTTCTGATAATGCTGTGCCCTAGTTGATGATAGGGTTTTTCAACAACTAGAAGTTCCTCTTGAATCATAGTTAAGTGATTGTTAATTATTAGTATCTTGGTAATTATTCCAAATTTGTAGCTTTACTTGTCCTATTTAAGTGTGATTTTGGTGAGCCTGTTGGCTTGTGCTTGGTTTCTTATCTAACAGAGTTTTGTGTTCTTTAAATAATGAAGAGAAATGAGCATTTATGTGTTAGAAAATTGTTAAAGATTGCTTAAGCCACTTTAATGAACATTTGACCACAAATAACTGAAAAATACTCAATTACTAAATATATTTACTGGCTTGGAGTTTTGGTTGGAATTGTGATTTGTATAACTAACTTG